TGAGGTTGGTGGTCAGTAGGTCAGTGATGTTGGTGGTCAGTAGGTCAGTGAGGTTGGTGGGCAGTAGGGCAGTGAGGTTGGTCGTCAGTAGGTCAGTGAGGATGTGGGTCAGTAGGTCAGTGATGTTGGTGGTCAGTAGGTCAGTGAGGTTGGTGGTCAGTATTTCAGTGTGAGGTTGGTGGTCAATAGGTCAGTGAGGTTGGTGGTCAGTAGGTCAGTGAGGTTGGTGGTCAGTAGGTCAGTGAGGTTGGTGGTCAGTAGGTCAGTGAGGTTGGTGGTCAGTATTTCAGTGTGAGGTTGGTGGTCAATAGGTCAGTGAGGTTGGTGGTCAGTAGGTCAGTGAGGTTGGTGGTCAGTAGGTCAGTGAGGTTGGTGGTCAGTAGGTCAGTGAGGTTGGTGGTCAGTAGGTCATTGAGGTTGGTGGTCAGTGAGGTTGGTGGGCAGTAGGTCATTGAGGTTGGTGGTCAGTAGGTCAGTGAGGTTGGTGGTCAGTGAGGTTGGTGGGCAGTAGGTTATTGAGGTTGGTGGTCAGTAGGTCATTGAGGTTGGTGGTCAGTGAGGTTGGTGGGCAGTAGGTCATTGAGGTTGGTGGTCAGTAGGTCAGTGAGGTTTGTGGTCAGTAGGTCAGTGAGGTTGGTGGTCAGTAGGTCAGTGAGGTTGGTGGTCAGTAGGTCAGTGAGGTTGGTGGTCAGTAGGTCAGTGAGGTTGGTGGTCAGTAGGTCAGTGAGGTTGGTGGTCAGTAGGTCAGTGAGGTTGGTGGTCAGTAGGTCAGTGAGGTTGGTGGTCAGTAGGTCAGTGAGGTTGGTGGTCAGTAAGGCAGTGAAGTTAGCAGAAGTCTATGATACATGGAGGGAAGTTTCTGGAAGTCTATGATTCGTTGGTTCAGTAGGTTAGTTTTGGTCAATTGATCGTATTTTTATCTGTATGTCAGTTCTACTTGTAAATTGTACACAGCGGGATAGTTACATGGTATTAACATTACGTGAATTATTCCTGTTCTCAGCGGGACTTCAGGCGATCTTTTGACGGCTGTGGTTTAAAATTGCAAACGTTGTTATATTACGACGAATTATTAATCACGGTGTAGAATACCCCTCCAGTTTGAAATCGATTGAGCGCTGATGTGTGCATTTTACCCTCCTTATGAAACACATTGAGCTCTGGTGTGCATTTTACCCTCCTTATAAAACACTTTGATCACTGGTGTGCATTTTTACCCTCCTTATGAAACACGTTGAATACTGGTGTGCATTTTACCCTCCTTATAAAACACTTTGATCACTGGTGTGCATTTTTACCCTCCTTATAAAACACTTTGATCACTGGTGTGCATTTTTACCCTCCTTATGAAACACGTTGAATACTGGTGTGCATTTTACCCTCCTTATAAAACACTTTGATCACTGGTGTGCATTTTTACCCTCCTTATAAAACGCTTTAATTACTGGTGTGCATTTTATCCTCCTTATAAAACACTTTGATTACTTGTGTGCATTTTACCCTCCTTATGAAACACGTTGAGCGCTGGTGTGCATTTTACCCTCCTTATGAAACACGTTCTACTGGCAGAAAAAAATAAACCGGGAGTGATCTCCCCTAAACTTTCTCGAATATTCTTATATAAAATAACAGGGGATGGGAACTCGGGCTATAGACTTCTAGACATGATTTTTAATCCATTTTAAATACTTAAAGTTTTAAAAATAGAATAAAATCTCGTAGACAAATTAATTGCACACCAAGTGAACGCGAATAAAAAAGCGCATAATAGTGCGCAATATTATTAGTACTTTAAAAATTTACATTAGTTTTTTGAGAAATCGGAAGTAGCGTAAATTACTACTTCCGGTCAACGGAAATTACTCAAAATTTAACAGAAGGTAGAGAATTAGATCTTTTACTTACATGTGAAATTTAATTTATCTATCTGAAATAGTACTCAAGTTATAGGCTTTTGAAAAATTCAAAGTAGAAAAAGTACCACTTCCGGTTGTCGGAAATCGCTCAAAAGTTGATACGGATCTACGATTTTGATAAAATACTTATATTTGAAATTTCATCAACCTAGCTGTAACGGTACTCAAGTTATCGTGTTTACACACGGACACACACACACAGACACACACACAGACACACAGACATACGGACAAGATTGCAAAATTATGTTTTTCCGTATCAGTGAGATGCAAAACGTCGAGATTTGCAAAAATCTCGATTTTTTTTTTTTGCACGATTACAAGACTTTCTCTATACTTCGTATATACGAGAAAGTAAAAAGCAAAAATTGCATGTTGCCAAAAAAACATGAAAATGCACAAACTCCGTGCAAGTAGCGAACCTTTCCTTGCATCCTTTGGCTCCGCTGGAGAAGGATTTGAGCCAATTGATTCTCCGCTTACAAATATTCCTCCCGCAGGGGTAATAACTCTAATTCATTATTCACTGCTCTGTGAGAGCTTATTCGGGATTTCCCCGATTATTCTACGTTGATATCCGATTATTAGATCAAGTCAAAGAAATATCCAACCCGTTTTGTCAGAACTAAGCCTTGTCGTTTGTGCTCAGTTTTGGGTATAAATATTGTAATATACGCCGTGGTGGAGATTTGGAATTGTTATTCTTGTTGATGATGTCTATATGCGGTCTTGTTTTGTATTTATATATTTTTTGTTTAACGAGGATTTGTTTTATTTGATAAAGCTGTAGAACTGTGATTTCAATTAACTTAGCCATTGGAACGTTGAAAAAAAGTTTAACTATAATTTCAAGTGGCTGTGAAATGTGTCTCCTTGGATGTGCTTTTGAATCTAGGAACTCTCTAAGATGGAGATCCGTTCACGGTTGATTGGATATCCGGTTCAAGTACAAGAAGGGATTACTTTTGGCGACCGGGAATACAATTAAGGTTTTTTTTTTAAACGGATTTAATTCTGAATTGCTTCATCGCTGTACAAGCTCTCTTTTTGTGATTGATTGGCGCTTCTATTTTCTTGAACTGTGAATTATTTTCCTGTGATGCGGGAACATTCTAAATTAAAGAATTAAATTTTATTTTATTTTAAACTTTATTTAAATCAAATGCAGATTTACGCGTCTATTAATTATTTTAGTCAAGTTGGATTTTAATCTAATAATTCACGTTGGAGTTGAGATCTTAATTAAAGCCTGACAATTTTCGAAATTCATTTAACAAATTTCAACCAAATTCAACGTCTTCTGGAGAAAAAAAATAATTCTTTGCTTGGCCCGGAAAGTTTCCTGTTCAAAACGACGGAGGGTACTGCGACAAGGCTGTCCAATGGTAGCGTCATGGTGCTTCGGCCATGGAAATTCTCCCCACACGCCTTCTTCTCTCGCCGGAAGAAGGGCCAGACCCAGTCGGCCTTGTGCGAGAAGTCCAGCGTGGTAGAGCAGTACACCGCCCTCACCGGCAATGCTAAAGTCGCCAAGGAAAAACCCAAAGACAAATTCCGCTTCCGGCGGTGGCAGCCGAGAAAACGAAAACGAAACCAGAATGTGAGTCACCGGCAGGCGCATGATGTCAGTTACGGGACGGATGGTTCCAGTTCTGGATTAAACTGCGGCTCGTCTTCTTTCGAGTGCGAGAACTCCACCGCCAGTAACGAGTACGACCCCTGCGGGGTCACCTCCGCGGGCGAAAACGAAAATTCAGCGTCGACGGATGTTGATAATTCTAATTCGGCGAACAGTGATTATGACTACAACCTGAGCGCTAGCCTGTACAACCACCTGGAGGTCAACCCGCTGGAGATGTACCTACAGTCTCGCCACGAGCGGGCCATGGTGCGGCTGTGCGCCCTCCTGTGGATTCTGAAACTGGATGAGGACAGGTCACAGAGGCAGTCAGAGACGGGCAGTAGCTGGGACGAGGAGGAGGAGTGTCACTACCAACAGCAGTACCTCCCCGCCCAGGGGGTGGAGGAGAAGACCGAGGCCATGGACGTGTCGCAGTACGTCTCGCCCAGGTTGTGCAAGCGACGCTCACTGCAGGTGGTCTGAGTTATCTTCTCTTGTCTGATTTTGGTTATCTCCCCTTATTTAACTTATCTTATAATAAATAACCCCATCTCTCTGTAAATTACAATACAAGTGTTCTTTTCTTTGTTTTCGCATCGTCTCCTTCTAAGTTTCTCGAATATAATTTTTTATTTTATAAATCTACACTTTTTTTGGCTATAAAAAATAGACATTTAATTACCAAATGTATTCACAAATCTAAATAGAGACAAGATATGTCTTACAGCTTTACCTAGTCTGTAGGTATATAAATAAAATCAGTTTTTTAATATCACATATTATTCAAAACATTGAAGTTATATAGATTTAATTCACATATTTCGCTGTATTGTAGTTTAATCAACCACAGTATATCTCTGTAATAAATAATATAACAATAAAAAGTGTATAATAATATAGTGGATCCTGTCCCTTATAAAAAAAAAAAAAATAGTGTGGGTCAAGTTGACCTCTTTGTCGTCTGGACACCAAACTTCACCCCTGGTCACACGCAAGTGGAAGAAAAGTTGCCTACCCTTTTATTACATCACTCAACACACTTTTTATTTACAAAACAGTTATGAAAACACTTTGTTTACTGATACATTTATTATAGTATATAATATAGTATAGTTATATATATATATATATATATATATATATATATATATATATATATATAGTATATATATACTATATATACTGTATATATAACTAATATATTATAGTATAGTATATAATATAGTATATATACATATAGTATATAATATAGTCTACTGATATATTTATTATAATGTTTTTTTTCAATTTACATTTAGTGCTGTAATTGGGTTATATTGGGGTTTCTTATTGACAATATGTTGGTTTAATGTGGTATAAAATCCAATTCTTATGTTGCTTTAATGTTTCCTTGCATTCGTTACTAGTTTACCATGTAAATGTTTACCCCTGTTATATGTTTCTTTTTCTCTCATTCCTGACAGCTTTACGATAAGATCAATACAAGATCGGCAAGCCCTGCTCGCAGGCCCAGCTCTGATGCCGTCCATAGAGCTAGCGAGGTGAGTTTTTTATCTGATGCTCAGCTGGGTCAGTCGTCTTATGCCCTGCCGGCTCACGTGGTCTGCTGGTCAGTTGTATTCTAGTTAACTGGGTAACTTGTCTGATGGTCAGTTGTCTGATAGTCAGTTGTTCTCTAGTCAACTAGTCTGATTGTCTGGTCAGTTGTCTGATTGTCAGTCGTCTGATTGTCTGGTCAGTTGTCTGATTGTCTGGTCAGTTGTCTGATTGTCAGTTGTCTGATGGTCAGTTGTCTGATTGTCTGGTCAGTTGTCTGATTGTCTGGTCAGTTGTCTGATTGTCAGTTGTCTGATGGTCAGTTGTCTGATTGTCTGGTCAGTTGTCTGATTGTCAGTTGTCTGATGTCAGTTGTCTGATTGTCTGGTCAGTTGTCTGATTGTCTGGTCAGTTGTCTGATTGTCAGTTGTCTGATGGTCAGTTGTCTGATGGTCAGTTCAATGATGGTCAGTTGTCTTCTAGTCAACTGGGTCAGTTGTCTACTGGTCCGTTGACTACTGGCCAACCGATTGTTCAAGGCTAGGTGGTGTGGTGGTGGACTTACTATGGTTAAAGTATATGTTTTCTATAATAAATTATTAGTTTCAATTCATCCGAGGGAAGGGCTCTCAGAATAAAGAAAAAAAAAACAACATACTCATTATTCAATATCAAACAATTAGCCTAGCCCATATAATAATACAGTTAGAAAAATGTTAACCCAAGGGGCATAACCAAGAATTATTTTATCTTTAAAAGAATGTTAATGTTTCCATCTACTTTATCTCCCCTTACCAGGTCCTTCGTCTTCTCCAAGCCAATTCGACAGGATCTCACTGCACGGAGGTGGCCGAGCTTAGGCGACTGCTTACATCCCCCAACATGAAAGTAAGTTTTTGTTTTGTTTATGTCACAGTATTTTTATTTCCGTGTACACGAAACACGTCACGTATTTGTAAGCTGTGTAACACGTTTTTAACAGTACATTAGTGTCTACTGGATGACCTACATTAGCCACTTATCTTTTGCTTACAAGACTAAGTTGTTGTTTTTTTTTTAAGATAAGATTTTTATACTTTTTCATAACTAAGCTACCTAACAGTAATCGTGTAATTTATGTTAGTAATCTTAGTGCTAAACTCTGATCGCAGCCATTCCAATAATTATCTATGTTTTTAGTTGTGTTTATTTATGTTGTTAAAATGTAAACATTACTATATGATTTCTTGCATGATAAAATTTTATCTCTATTTCTAAAACACTTCTACAATATTTCTTTGGATATCTAATTTTAAAAACTTTATCTTTGTGTGTGCCAAGTATCAAACACAATAATCTAGTGCACTCTGGTAGAAATAACGAGACAAGGGAAATAACCAACATATTGAAATATTTTTCAGCTTATGTCCCTTAGTTTCTTATACGTTTGAAATATACATGGACAATGACGTAGTTTGGTGTGAAGTTTATTTTAACGCATAAAATCGCTTTAGCTAGTAATTATGTGCACAGGATTCTAGGCCTCATTGGGAAAAACATAGTGCAGACCACACTTTCTCTTCATATACCGAGGTCTCTGAAACAGATGAACTCTACTTCATCTGCACGATATTCTTGGCCTTGAACGGGAAAAGATTATTATTATAGCTCATGGTTTAATTTATATATGTGTATGCACCATAGTATAGTTAGAAACATAAGCAAGACGTAAGCTAAAAATATAAATGACATCACCCACCTAAATAAGTGCCCCTCACCTTTGAGACAAGTATTTTTTGGTAGGAGGTGCAAGGGTCCATCATCTGTTATATAAATATAAAGACTACACCATTTCCGCTGGGTGGTTCTAAATGTATATGTAGCATAAACCGCGTGCTGTGCTTGCTGGTCTACTTTTCATATTTGTGTTGTGTTGTTTTTTCAGACATTTTATAGACCCGCATCGGTCTAGCCCTCGATTTGAATACCATAGCCATATAATAATTTCATATACCTTAGCCACAGATTATACTAAGGCCATATAATAATTTCATATACCTTAGCCACAGATTATACTAAGGCCATATAATTATATCATATACCTTAGCCACAGATTATACTAAGGCCATATAATTATATCATATACCTTAGCCACAGATTATACTAAGGCCATATAATTATTTCATATACCTTAGCCACAGATTATATACTAAGACCATATAATTATTTCATATAACTTAGCCACAGATTATACTAAGGCCATATAATTATTTCATATACTTTAGGCACAGATTATACTAAGGCCATATAATTATTTCATTTATCAAAGTTACCTAATTATTTCATACACCATGACCATAATTATTTCAAATATCATGGTCACATAGTTATTTCAAACCAACTGCCCTGTCGATCTTATTGTTAAAATTAGAAAATGCCCTTGCTTGTGCCCACTTTATATTTAAAGAATAAGCTAATTACTGCAAGATATTTCTAGAAACCCCTTGCAATATAACTCTATTTCACATCCACTCACCCCTTCCCCCTCACAAACACATACATCTGGAGTCACGTAATTCTGATCAAATCTTGTTGTCTTAAAAACAAAAATAAGTAAGGGAAATAATCAGAAAGGGAGATAAAAATGCCAGCACACATTATGTTTTTAAAGGAAATGAGCTGTCTAGAAGCACCCATCATGGAACGCATATTCCCCTCCTCCAGGGGGTGGGGGTCTGGCTAACCATGTCGTCAAGAGGGGTATTACGTCACGTTTTTTAACTGCCCTGCAAATGGATGGAAGCAGGCCTAGATAACGGTCGGTGTTAAAATATGTAGGGATAGGGTTATGTAGCAGGCGGATAAATGTTATTATGTCCTGCAAGTATTTTATTATATAATTACATCACTAATTAATTATGAATCTATTTATTTATTTTTATTTTATTTATTTATTTGTCTCTTGCTTGTGTTAGTTTGTTTTTTTTAATTAATGTGATAGCTTATAGATTTAGACCTATGTAGCAATCAACATTTTCCAAGTTTTTTTTTAACCAGTATCCATTGCGTTATATATATATATATATATATATATATATATATATATATATATATATATATATATATATATATATATATATATATATATATATGTAGCTCATCTGAAACTGTATTGTTATGCCATCGGTTTAAAAGAATCGGTTTGAAACATGTGTGTGGTCTACACATGATGCTGTATTTTGTAAGTCGTTAATCACATGGGTTAACAGCTGGTGTTAGTGATGTGCGCCCCCCCCCCCACACACACACACACTCATACACATCTCGCCCTATTTGTTTTCCAACATTTTGACCTCATGTGTCGTCGACCCCCCCCTACCACCCCCACATTAACTTATATGTGCCCCCCCCCCCCCAAGATTCATATCTTGATCTGACGTGTGATTGTAACCCCCTACATCTAAAATTGATGCCCCCCCCCCCCACATCTCAACCTGATTTCAGCCCCCACACACACACATAGACAACCACCGCCCTCCACACACATACATACAACCACACACACACACACACTCACGACCTTGTATGTGCTGAGCTATGCACTCACCACCACGTGTTGCACACCATATGACCTCCCTTGACCCAGATTCACTCAGCTGCTAATCGATCTCACCCAGCTATTATTACATACTCCGTCTGTACTTCATTCATCTTCACTCATGTAATTCTTTCTCCGTCATGCGTGCATTAAACGGCAGTCACGTGATTTAGCTCACCAAGATGGGCACAGGCCAGCCAACAGTGTGTACAGTACATCCACCATTCCATCTTGCTTGTGTTTAGCTTTCTCAAATCATTTCTTTCAAACTTTTAAAGATGTAGATCTAGTTTTCTATTTGTGTAGAGGCGGGGGGAGGGGATCCTATGTAGTTGGAGCATAACGTTTTATTGTTTTCATTCCACATTCTTTCCTCCGTTCTGCACATGCCCCCCACCCCCTCCCCCAACATTCTTTTAGGAAGAAAAAAAATATTTTAAACTCTTGTCTTTCTTCCATTAGTTATATTCCCACCCCTAGCCCACGCCTACCTCATAAACTCAGCGCCTGCTTAATAAATCATTTCCGCGAGCTTTTTTTTTTGTTTCGTTTTATTTTTACATTTAGCTTTTCTCTTCATCCCCTACCCCCCTTAGCCCACCCCATCATTTTGTGATGCGAGTATCGTATTTAACATATATTTAAATACTCGCTTCTGTCTTCATCTTACTTCTGTCTTCCTCTCCCTTATACGATCCTCTTTTTCTGCCCCCCCCCCTTCTTTCTGAACCCTCTCTCTCTCTTCTCCCTCCTCTCTCCTGTCCTCTCTCTTCCGTCTTCCTCTTGCTCACCCCCGCTCACTACACAGAAACGGTTAAGATTTACTCTTTAACGCCTTACATGCAACCTAGACCGAATCGATTCCGAGAGTGTAGTATCGTATCATGCCACTCACTCCAGTATTAAATGAAACAGATAGGCGGCTGATAGTGAATGTGGGCCAAGTTGATTACAAGTCAAGTTGTTGCTGGTGATGTATGACACTTGGTCCGGTTATTTGCGTAACCGGACTATCTGTTTGAGTAAACGGACAATACGTTTGAGTAACCGGACAGAATGTAGACGGTCGGTGATAAATGGACGAGTACGAGATAGAGAAACGCGATTGGTCAATTTACATTTGTTTGTGCCTAGATGGCTGGTTGTTTGTGTGGTGTAGATAATGTTGGCGTTTATTTTTGTGTTGTGTTTTATCGTAGCTTTTAAACTGGTCACGCGGATTTATTTATGTGTGGGGTTTAGGGGGCAGGGTAGATCGTGTTTAGGGTTAGGAGCAAGGTAGCCTGGATTAGGGGTAGGGTAGATCGTGTCTTTTCCATAGCCCCATTTTAATTATATTTACACATTTGATTTTATTGTTTCTTAATTTTTTTTCAATACATTTTTGTCGAGGCCAGTTAAGTCTAAGGATCAAGAGAATGAGGAGCTTTTATTTGTGAAGAAGATGTTTAGTTAACAAAACAACATCAATTTAAATTAAAACACATCAACCTCTTCGTCTTCATTAGAATCGCCTTAAAAAACAATTAATTTATTTAGTTGATTTTTGCTGAGACTAAATTGGTTGTTCTTAAACAGCAGTTTAATGGGATCCGCGAGACACTAAATACTAACTTATATTATTTTCCTTAATCTCTCTTGGGTTCTCAAGTTTAGCCTGAGGTCTTTGGCTGAGGTCATCAATGTAAATTAGTGTAAGAATTCTGGGGTTCGTTATCCTGAAAAATCGACTACACTATTATCTTCATGTTTTTTAAATATCCGTATTCGATTCCGTATCGCCGGTGAGCACTGGACATCGAGTCGCGTGCGAATACTCGCGGCTGTTGCTACATGGGCTTGTGGGGGGGGGCGCGCGGTGCGGGCAAGGGTCACGGGCTGAGAGGCAGGGAACGCGTGCTGTACCCCCCTCTCTCCGTCGTGCTGGTGAGCAGATTGTAAGTCATAGACCGGCTTTGTTGTCTTATCTTCTGCATTGTGAGTAAACAATCAGATGTTGGTGTGTTGGTTTAGTATCGTTAGGAGTGCAGTGTAATCGTGTGTTTCGATTACTCGTACGTAGATAACGGTGTTTGAATCATTATCTATGAGTTTAGCGCAGATGTGTTTGTGCTTTTTCTTTTTCATTTTTTTTTTGGGTCGTGTTTTCTAATGTGTTAGGCAGTGTTTACATAAATTGTGACCTACTTGTAGTTTTCGATAGAATTAGGTCGGGATAAGTTGGCTTTGTTTACGCCTCACGCGTAAGTTATAATCAGTTATCGATAGACTTGTATACAACCGATCTAATGTGTTAATTGTTTTATAGGTG